TCCCAAGTCATCATTTTCCCCAGTTTTCATCTCAACTTGGCATGCTATAGCTATGTTTTTCAAATTCTATAAAGTCTGTGAAGGGAGAGTGGTTGTCTGGGTGAGACTAAAAACCTATGGATTTTAAACTATACAGGAACAAGATTAATGATGAGGACTCTTTATACTAAAATATTTGAATGCAGGTACCAGAAGGATGGTGATTGCTCAACATATCACACACTCAGTTTGGCCCAATTCCATTGCTCTCATTTGTTTCATATTTCATTTCTGTACTAGAGTGAATAATTGAGCAATGCTAACATAAATTAAGGGACAAGACGTTTCCCTTTCATCACAAAAATCTTCAATTCCATCATTTTTTGTAGCCATGTGGAATATAAATAAATGCACCCACTGGGGTAGAGGTGGGCTAAGAGCCCAGACTGCATTTCACAAAACGTTACAAGTTTTTGTCTAACTTGCTTTTCTCTTGCTGAAGCATACCCAAATCTCAGACATCACTGACTGTTGGCTGCATCCAGAATGTATCTCAGTTGCACAGATATAAACTTCTACTTCTATGTAAAAGATAGAACATAAACCATCACACATTAACAAACATTATTGGTTTCCTTTGTCACTAATTGCTAGAATCTAGGTGTGCCATTTGCTTTAGCAGAAACTTTCTTTTTATCTTGTCTTACATTCATAAATCACAGGATGCCACACGAGCAAAAGCTCTTCAAAAACACCAATGTAAAATGGGCAGCTGCATTCATGTCTTCTGAAAGCCAAATGAAGTGATATTTAACCCTGAGCTCCCTTACCAACAGATACAAAAATAAAGATTATGAAATTCAGAAGAAAAGAAATGGAGCAACTCCAGTTTAATGGAGTAGTCCTTGACATTATTAGATCTTTTGATAGCCTGGTTATAGAGTCTCATCACATGATCATTTAGAAACAGATGAAAAGTCATTACACTTAGAAAGGTGGATAAAATACTTGGCTTAGTCTGCATGAACTGTGAAACGGGCTGTTCTCCAGGTAGGGTTGTAAACTTGAGAACTCACAGATTTGGAAATGCCTAAACAAAAGATTTATGTGCATTCTTAGCTTGCCTCTGCTATATTTGCATTACGGTTTAATCTTTCACTGCATGATCCAAAGGATCCTTGACTCATCCGATCCACTGACAGGATGACATCCAGCTGATGAGCTGCTATTTGATAGTATTTTTCATTTTAAATTGTGTGTGGTCTGAGGATTTATTTACTACATATTTCATGGTTTACAGACAGAACTTATTTTCTTATGTGCATTCCTCTGGCACACGCCACTACAGGATTTTCATGCTCACATTTATTCAGTTTTGCAACACCTTAGTGGCCATTTTTATCTCCATTTTGCAGATGGGGAGCACAGAAATAAATGTTAAATGACATACATTAATTTCAAAGTATTTAGTGTAGTCTGAAACACCAAGAGGTGGTTTTCCTGAGCGTGTAGCATTACACAGACTGACTATACTCAAAGGATGGCACTCCTGGACTTCATTTACGGGTCCTCTGAAATCCTGTCTAACTGCCTGTAAAACAGGCTTCAAGGTCTTAAATGAGATACTCAGAAAAGTGAGGACAAATTGTGATCATCTGTAAAAATACTAATGACTTCACCACCAGCCCATTCTGGTGTAGTTCCCTATTTCTGTCAACGGGTGTTTTACTGCTTCTGCCACAAATGAGGTAGAGTTCTGCTTCCTCCTGTCTCCCTCATGACACAGCTCTCTTGGTTAATGAAAGAGGAAAAAGGAAAAGTGATGTTTCCATGCAAGACCACCTCTTAGTGCATACGTAAAGGGTGTCTGAATTGAGATTGGGGCTCCCTAACACTGAAATGCTTGGCAATGCCAAGTCAACTGGTTTTAGCAGAGCTTGTATATAGTCTGTATATATTTAGCAGAGCTTGTATATAGACTTCAAGGAGACGAACAAAAAAACTAGATATTTTACATGTGGCACCTACATGTATTGGCAACAGTGTTAGCACTTTTAGATCTGCTCCTTTAGGCCTATCTCCCTTAAGGTAATGGTGTAATTGAAAGAAGTAGCACTGTCAGCTTCTGGCCAGAGGAACATGGGACACCTCCCTGCTGGATGTCACACTGGGGGGGTCCAACACAGAAACTAGGAATTTAAGTTGGATCTGTTGTGTATTTTTGAAGCAAATGTCATGTTTGTCCAGATTTACCATGGTTTGGTTCACATTGTGGAGCAGTTTTGGAGTGTATAAACTCCATTCAACCGAAACTGAGGCAAAGATGCTCTTCAGGATGACACTTAGTGAGCTCCGGTCACTAATGAACATTCAGCCCATGGAACCAGACAACTGTATCTGATGCTGCAGTTGTTTTGTCTGCTTATTCTGTGTGCAGAAGTTGGCGTGTGCACTTTGTGTGTCTATGTGCATATGCCTGCCAATTCAAAACTTCACATACACGTTTCTTAATTAGCCGTGGCCAAAAGAATTCAGAATTGTTTTCAAAATGCTTCCCTGTTAATGGATTATGCAATGAAATCCAAAAGCAGGACTGCAATTAAGGTGTAAATTTTCAGTGATCCAGGCGGTGGTGCCTCTGAAACCTGGCAGATAATTGACTGGCATTTGTGGTGTTGGGGGGTGTCCCTTTGAGTGACAAAATATCTGTGTTCTTTGCCTATGCCACACACAGCCACAAAATATACAGATGTTGGGATGTTATCTAGTTTCTTAATATGTTAAAACAGATTAATTTTAAACATAGTTAAACAAAAGTGTCTAGAATTCACATGTTCTCATCTTCATTTTAACATCAGGAGCTTTGCTACTGCAGCACACAGGGAGGCATAATTAATGAACCATGTGTAACCAGAGGCACGTGGCACCTTCAGCAATGGTAGGAAACACTGGGATGCACCCTATGATTTGCATGGATCTCTAAGTTTTGTATTTTCCTGTGGACTGTGCCTGGCTGTAAAGTCACCTTATAGAATCATAGAATGTATTGGGTTGGAAGGGACCTCCAAAGGTCATCTAGTCCAACTCTCTTGCTATAAGCATGGACATGTCCAACTAGGTCGAGCTGCTCAGAGCCTCATTCAGCCTGATCTTGAATGTCCCCAGGGATGGGGCCTCCACCACCTGCCTGGGCAGCCTATTCCAGGGATCTATCACCCTCATACTGAAGAACTTTTTCCTAACATCTAACCTGAATCTCTTCTTTTCTAGCTTAAAGCCATTACCCCTCATCCTGTCACTACAAACCCTTGTGAATAGTCCCTCCCTCTTGTAGGCCCCTTTCAGGTACTGGAAGGTTGTTATAAGGTCCCCCCAGAGCCTCCTCTTCTCCAGGCTGAACAGCCCAAAACCCCTCAGCCTGTCCTCATAGGAGAGGTGCTCCAGCCCTCTGGTCATTTTTGTGGTTCTCTGCTGAACACATTCCAACAGCTCCACGTCCTTCTTGTGCTGGGGGCTCCAGAGCTGGACACAGGACTCCAGGTGAGGTCTCACCAGGGCAGAGCAGAGGGGCAGGATCACCTCTCTCCATCTGCTGGCCACGCTTCTTTTGATGCAGCCCAGGATTCAGTTGGCCTTCTGGGCTGCTGCTGCACATTGGTGGCTCATGTCCAGCTTCT